TTGTTCCTATTTCTATCTCATTGAAAAAGTCAAAACTTGGGTGCCTGGATGGTTTGGTTGGTTAAGTGACTGCCTTCAGCGCAGGTCATGATCCTGGAGTTCCAGGATCAAGTCCCGCATCCCGCTCCCTGCTCAGCAGGGAGTCTGCTTCTCCCTCTGACCCTCCCCCCTCTCATGTGCTCTCTCTCATTCTCTCTCTCAAATAAAATAAAATCTTTAAAAAAAAAAAAGTCAAAACTTTTCCTGTCACAATTAAAGAACTACAAGTTTGTTTCACATGTTTTCCTGTATTTTTTACATTTTTTTTAAAGATTTTATTTATTTATCTGACAGAGGGAGAGTACAAGCAGGGGGAACAGCAGGCAGAGGGAGAAACAGGTTCCCTGTCGAGCAAGGACCCTGACGCAGGGCTCAATCCCAGGACCCTGGGATCATGACCCGAGCCGAAGGCAGATGCTTAACCGACTGAGCCACCCAGGTGCCCTTGTATTTTTTACATTCTGATAATTAGAAAATTTCTCAGAAATTAGAGGTGTAGTATAATGGCAAAATGAACCTATTTATAACTGTTCAAGTAAATCTGTTCAAGTGTTCTTTTCCTATAAATTTCATTGCAACTAAAAATACTTTTTTAGTACTGACCTACATTGGAAGCGTTATAGCATTACTACATCCCAAACCAACTCATTATCTCCTCTTTAGCACTCCCACAATGTCCTGTGCAAACTATCACGGTATTTCTCACAGTATATTATTATGATTATGTGTCTGTCTTTCCAAGAACAACCTTTAAGCCTTTATTATATACACTGGAATCAGCACAAGTTTTCTACGGATATGGGTGATAGTACAGAGGAATGAGAACTGGGCCGAATCTCCTATCTGCATTATTTCCCCAAGCAACAAGAACTTGGTAACAAACCCTTGTTCTGTTCTTTGGTGATTACAAGTTACAGGACCCAGTCATTTTGCCTTTATGATGTGTGGTGCCATACGTGTGCCTCGACAATCTTATTTATGAGGTCCATGTGATTTTGGTCTGTGGCTAATGGGTGTTGAATATATGGATTTAGACTTGGAGGGCCCTGAAAAAGATTCTTCAAATGTAGGACAAAAATCATTGTCTCTACGCTGATACTCTATGGTTAGGCAATTCACTTTTATAAGTGGTATAGCAGAGCCATCATCAGAAAGTTAGGAAGATTGTCCAGTACGGGTTATGAATTGTATCATTTTCATGAATGCATTTATATGCTTAGCAATATGTAGCCCTGAAAGGGAATAGGTTCAATATGTAGTCTAAGGTGATGGGTTCCTGAGAACTTTAGTGATCTACTGTGGTATAATAACCCACCCACCCAATCCAACTTTAGTGATACATTAACAACCATTTTATTTTGCTCCTGTGGGTCAGGAATTCAGATGGAGAATAGGGATGCTTATCTCAGCTCCATGATGTTTGAGCCCTCATCTGGGAACACTGGAGTGGCTGAGGGTGACTCAAATGTCTTGGAGTTGGAATCATCCAAAGTTTCTTCGCTGAAATAACTGGCGCCTGAGCTGGTATGACTCAAAGCCTGTACTTACCGGGAACTCTTGAGTGGAGTGCTTACACATAGTCTTTGCATGCGGCTTGAGCTTTCTGAAAGCATGGTTGCCTCAGAGTGGTTCCTCTTTTTAACATGGTGGCTCAGGAATCCAAGAATGAGAATTCCAGAGAACAAAATGGACTCTGTATGGTCTTTTCTGTCCTAACATCACTTCTGCTGGACTCTACTTGTAAAAGCAGACAACATCTAACCAGATTCAAAAGAAAGGTACTTATGGGGCACCTGGGTGGCTCAGTCAGGTAAGCATCCGATTCTTGATTTCAACTCAGGTCATGATCTCAGGGTCCTGGGATAGAGCCCAATGTCAGGCTCCACGCTTAGCAGGGAGTCTGCTTAAGGATTCTATCCCTCTCCCATAGCCCCTCCCCCCACTCATGCACTTGCTCGTGCACTCTCTCCCTCAAATAAATAAATCTTTTTTTTTTAAGATTTTATTTATTTATTTGAGAGAGAGAGAATGAGAGATAGAGAGCACGAGAGGGAAGAGGGTCAGAGGGAGAAGCAGACTCCCCACGGAGCAGGGAGCCCAATGTGGGACTCGATCCCGGGACTCCAGGATCATGACCTGAGCCGAAGGCAGTTGCTTAACCAACTGAGCCACCCAGGCGCCCCCCAAATAAATAAATCTTTAAAAACAAAACAAAACAGGGGTGCCTGGGTGGCTCAGTCGGTTAAGTGTCTGCCTTTGGCTCAGGTCATGACCCAGAGTCCTAGGATCCAGCCCCACGTCAGGCTCCCTGCTCAGCAGGGAGTCTGCTTCTCCCTCTGCTCCTCACCCAACTCGTGCTCTTTCTTTCTCATTCTTTCTTTCAAAAAATAAATAAAATCTTTAAAAAAACAAAAATAAAAATAAAAACAAAACAAAAGGAAGGTACTTGGACCCCACATCTCGATTAAGGGAGTAGCTGCAATTTAAAAATGATCATGATGTATATCGCCTCTTAGGATTCTTTTTGGACCAGGTTCAGGCCTCATCTAGATCTGTATACTAGAAGGCCTCCTACCAAATTTGAGGCTACCAAGGCTTAAAGGGGATTTGGTGTACTGTAGGGTCAACTTTGTGATACAAAGAACCTCTGTCCATCAAAATGTATAGGTGGTCATGACAGTTTAGCAGGCCTCTGCTGTATTCTTCCTTCCTATAGCTAAGAGTGCATGATTCTAGACCTTCTTCTGGCTCTTCCATCATATGATTGCTGTCTTTTTTCTGACACACAAATCTGATCCTTTTACTTCCCTGTTTACAATCCTCCAAGGATTCCCCATCATCTCTAAGACAAAGTTCAAGGCCATTAGCATCACCTATAAGCCCCTTTATGATCTGACCCGGACCACTGAAAAGTCAGATGCTATGCTATTGTACAAAATATTGAAACACAGTGTTTATATAATTACTGAGTTCAAATCCCAGTTCTGTTGGGACTCATTAATTTCCTAGAGCTCAATGGAGAACCTTTCTTCCCTCAGTTGATGGTAGTGTACAACAAAAATGGCCTAGTTGCCACTGGTTTCTTTGGTAAGCCAGTTCTTGATGGCCCAAACCTGCAGGCGGGTTCTAGTTCTGGAGTAGTGCTCCCCTTCGATGCTTAGTCCTTTGTACTGATGCCAGCTATTGGTCCCGAGTCTTCCAACATTAAATTCTCAAGGGCCCTGACTTCTCCAACATTTAATTCTCAGGAGTCCTGCCCTTTCAGGTAATCTGTATGCCCTTGGTCAGGGCCTCCCAGACCATCACACACATTTTAATAACTTTCAATCTCAAAACATTGAAGAAGGGATTAAAAGGCTCCTTTGTCCATAGAGACCCGTCTATGGACAAAGATGCCCAACAGCATCTAAGGTCCATATAGCAATTAATAAGTGTGTCTGACACAGCTTAACCTGTTTATAGGAACTGAGCCCAGGTCCTGATTCAGCCAAAATGTCCTAGAACATATGCATTCAATTTCAGGGTATTCATGGATCCCTTGAGGTAGGGTTGCTGGATAAAACACAATGCCCAGTTAAATGTGAATTTCAGATAAACAATGAATAATTTTTTAGTATAAGTATGTCCCATGCAGTATTTCCATGGATAGGATAATTATACATATTTGTGGAAAGAGGTCCAAACAGCGTCAAAAGATCTAAGGCAGACGCTTAACAGACTGAGCCACCCAGGCACCCTTAAGTGTATTTCTTTTCTTACCAAATTATTTATCCATTTAACATAGAAATACCAGCGTGAACTGGAAGAACCAATTCCAATTCCTTTAGCTCTAAACGTCAGGACATATTATCGTCTTTGGGTTTTACACTGTTACAGAGTGACTATGAGACAGTGATGAGACAGTGCCATCAATTATGGCCAGTAACTTCCTCGTTAAATTCCTAGAGCGGAAAGATATTGCCCAAAGTTCTTGAGATGGCCCACTTGGAAAGTTAAGTTACATAAATAGCAGATGTTCAGCCTGACTAAGGAAGGGAGCTGAAACAAGTACTCTCAATTACTCAATAATCCCCTGAGGTTGGGACTAGAACTATGAGAGAAAATTGAAATCTTCATTTTCATCTTACCATTAAGTCCTGACACAAGCCAACAATTAACCCCTTTCTTCTCACCACTATTTGTAATTCTATTATCAGGCTAACCTTCCTACCAAATTCTTCTACAGGAGTTCTTTTATTTATTTATTTGTTTTTGTTTGTAAATTTTCTTTGGAAAAAAGAAATATGGTAAAAAAAAGTTCAAACAGGGCGCCAGGGTGGCTCAGATGGTTAAGCGTCTGCCTTCGGCTCAGGTCATGATCCCAGGGTCCTGGAATCGAGTCCCACATTGGGCTCCTTGCTCAGCAGGGAGTCTGCTTCTCCCTCTGCCTCTCCCCCTGCTTGTTCTCTCTCTGTCTCTCTCGCAAATGAATAAATAAAATCTTTAAAAAAAAAAAAGTTCAAACAATGCAAATGGTTATACAATGACCCATGATGACCCTTAGCTCCCGGACCGAAGGTTCCTAACTTGGCTTAGGGACCGGAGTCTAAGTTAGACTGTCTAGACCCATGTGAGATTCCTGAATGCATGATTTTCAATGTACTGATAATGTGCATTTTTGTGAGGAAAAGGATCCAAACTTTTACCTGAGCCTCAAAAAGGTCCATGCCTAAGAACTCTCGAGGCAGGATTTGCTGAAGGGACTGACGCGCCCGCGTAATTCGGCACGGGAGAGGGTTAGTCGTCCCAGTGTAAAAAGCCCACCCCCATCCACCAACTCCGGGCCCCTGAGAAAGTACGTTCTCTGTGGAAAAAATCACGGCTCTTTTCTTCCCAAGTTTTCCGCCTGCCGCATTCCTTCCCTCCCGCGCGTCGGCGTGCGCTGACGTCATGACGCCGCACACGCAGCCCCGCCCCTGCAGAGCTCCGCGCTGGGACGGAACCCGGGTTTCTCTCAAACACGGAATGTGAGGCCTGGGCTTGGCTTTCTCTGGCTCCGTGCCCCGCTGTTTACCCGGGCCTGCGTGCGCCGCTGCTACCCTACAGCTCGCCCGGGAGGAGCCAGGGCGGCCGTGCGCTTCTGCCCTGCGCCCGCGTGGCTGCCGCCGCCCGTCCGAATCCTCCGGGGCCGCTGAGGAGTTCGCTACGGAGGGAGGCGGGGGCCTTCGGGAGGAGGAGGCGGAGGAGGCGGAGGAGGAGGGAAGGAAGATGGCGGCCGTGGAACTAGAGTGGATCCCGGAGACTCTCTATAACACCGCCATCTCCGCTGTCGTGGACAACTACATCCGCTCCCGCCGAGACATCCGCTCCTTGCCCGAGAACATCCAGTTCGATGTTTACTACAAGGTACGGGCGGTGGGCCTGCTCCCCGCTCCCCTGCCGCAACCCCTGGGGCCGCACCCCCTTCCACGTCTGCGAACCCCCGCAGTTAACCCCTCACCCCTCGTAGCAGGATCGCCTCCCGAGACATCTGGTGCGGTCTCCGGGTTGCAGTATAGGAATACCCTGTCTCCATATCCTCTGACTTTCAAGCTCTTGGGCCTTGATTGGTATCTCTTCCTAATGAGTCTCTCCCGATTTTTTGGTGTTCCCTCCTACACTGTGTCCCCCCACCAGGGGTAGGCCTTTTGCGTGGATTTCCTCTATTGTGCCCCTGTCCCACTCAGTCCACTTCTAGCCTTTGCTTTCAGGATATTTTCTGCCCTTTCTTACCCAGATTAAGTGTTAGCATTAGCTGAACTTTTTGATCTGCTGTTATCCCCCTTCCTACTTTCTCCTCTTGCTGCCTCTCTTCCCAACTATTTTTTTCTGCTTCGTGTTCTTCGTTTCTCCTTCCTCATCCTAATCGTGAGGGAATTGAGGATTTACTGGAAATAGTTGTGTGCTTTATTCGCATATTCTTTAAAGCTTTGGTTTTTGTTTATACTTGGGGTTGAATTGGGGATTTTGTTAATATGTGAGTAGTGATAAACCATTTGAAAGGAAAGGGGGCAATCTTTCCTGAAAGGAAAAAAAAAAACTTTAAATTATGTTCATGTATTTGGAAGTTGCAATTTTGCAGCATTCCTAAATAGCTCCCCCTCAGAAATCTGAACAAAAAGTCTCCCAAGTCACTCTCCAAGGAGTTTCAAGGGTAAGTATCTTAGATGTGGACGGTTTTTTGCAGTGTTTGGAGAGGGAGGAGAACTTTATGGACTCGGAGCCTCCCCCCCCCCCCACATTTGAATGTGAACAGTGGACTTATTATTCAGTCCTCATTGCCTTGAATCTGCGTGGATAACTCTCCAGTAGCCACCCGTGCAAAATGTGACCAGAAGTGGAGTATGATTTATTTTTTAGATCTTAAATACTTCCTCTTGATTAGTAACTTGTCTAGAACACAGTGTAAACTGATATTTAACAGATGTGTGTGTTCTTATATATATATGGTGTTTTATGGCAGTTGTTTTATTGGGAAGATTGCCCACTTTCTCCACCCCAGCATATTTTTTCAGAAAGCAGCTGACTTGCTACATTCTACTAAATCCAGCTGCATTACACCAATTCTAACAATTCAAATGTTTTTTTCCCCCCATAAATATTTGGAGAAGATTTATTTTGATTATTCATTTTATTATTTGGCCCTGGGGTAGTGAAAACCTCCCTTCATCCCAAGTCCCTTTGATAAATTGATTTACTTTTGTATGTATCTAAGGAAATTTTGTATATTTAAGATTCATTCCTCCCAAGGTAGGGTGACTTTAAATTTGTCTTTCTCAGCCTGGGAAACTACAGCTTTGTGTGTATGCTTACTCTGTCCATTCTATTAAATCTTATGTAATCTTTTATATACTCCTAAGAGGAAATAATTGGAAATTCAAGCAAAGTACAGTTACTGCTTGAATTCTCTCAGAGTATACTTGACCATCTTCTAGTCACTTTTGGTCCTAATTGAAGCTTTTCATTTGCAGATTATTATTACTAGTATGAACAGATAGTGCGTTTGCCACATTTTCTGTTTCACATAGTTCACGAAGTTTTGTTTTGTTTTCCACAAAGTTTTAATATTGCTTCTTTTTGGTACATTTCTAAATAGTTCTTTGTTTAGAGTGTGGCATTGTGTTAAAGTGAATGAAGGAAGGTATTTAACATGTGCCTGGAACTGTGTTAAGTGCTTTTACACGTGTTGTCTTGATTAAACTATAGAGTAAGGCATAACCCTATGTTAAAGGTGATAAAGTTAAGTAATTCAGTCAAGGTCTAATACTTAGTATTTAGGTTCCTGTGTTCCTTGTTTTCTTGCTTGAGAAGATTTTGCATTTTGAGGTAATTGATGAAAGACATTTATAGAACTAATTCCTGGACTTGAATCTTTGATGGAAATAGAAGGAACTTTTCTTACTTTAAAACATGGTATCAGTACATAAAATATAAATACCTTTTAAGCATTTTAATGCATATGAATATAAGATACTCATCCCCTGCCCAATTTGTGAACATTTTAAGAGGCTGCTTACAAGTTTCCAATTTTATCTAATTCCAATTTTATCCAATAATATCTAATATCTTATCTAATTCTACGAACCAAGGAGAAAGTCATAATCAGATTCCTTCAGCAGTCCCAAGTTCCATCAGTAGGCATAGTCACAGACAAAATTATAATATTTGTGGAATCAAAAAAACCCCATTCCTCTTAAATGTTGTAGTCCAGTGTCACTGTGTTAATTTTTTTGTGAGTAGCTTCCTAAAGCTTTAGGAGATGGGGTTATGGAATGAATGGGAGGTGAAGTAGGTATGCTGACTGCTCCCTAAGGAAGGGAAAGAAGAGAGGTGTTGATACATAGAGAGGGTAAAATGTAAAGGGATTTTTTTTTTTTAAAGAATGGAAGACATTAGAATGTATTTATTGGCTGAATGGCAGAAACCAAAATGGAATGAGAGTTTAATTGTACAAGTGAGGTGGGAGATGAATTATGAAGCAGAGTCCCTAAACGGGAGCATTAATTAATGAGTCTTGCCTCTTCCTTTACCGTGCATAAGTTAAGGTATTGGTTGGGGAAAGAATTGAAGTTGGGGAAAGAATACTTGTTTCTCTAAGATCAGATGGAAGGAGTTGGGGACATAAAATATCAGCATAGTTAAGTTTGCAAAGAATGGTTGTTGTGAATGGTAAGGTCATCTGCTGAGAGTAAGGGATAAGAGTGGTCGCTTCTACGTAGGAAGGCTAAACTGAAGTTGGAAATGGCTGCTGATGTTTATGGGAAGGGAAGTTCACTAAAAATGTGTTTTAAAAAATGACAGGTGGGGAGCACCTGGGTGGCTCAGTTGGTTAAGGGTCCAACTCTTGATTTCGACTCAGGTCAGGATCTCAGGGTGGTGAGATCCAGCTGGGCGTGGGGCTCTGTGGTCAGAGGGAGTCTGGTTGGGATTCTCTCCCTCTCCCTCTGCCCCCCCCCCCATGCACTGTCTCTCTGGTTCTTAAATAAATAAATCTTTTTTAAAAAATTGGCCATAGAGTTAAGTTTTGGCTAGGTGAAGTGTTTCCGTAATATGTTCTATTTATTATTTTCAGTCTTAACCTTAACAATTTTGGTTTTTATTATAATTGTAAGTCTTATGCTGAAAACCATACAAGTTAATGCCTGACTTTAGAGTTAATTTTTTCCTTTTCTGCATATATTTCTGTTGTATAGCTATATAATGCCTCAACTAATATTCTGATAATCTTTTGTTAACAAATTGAAAAAAAAATTCTTGCAATATATTTACAGCCAAAGAGTTAATAATGTTTTCATATAAAGAGTTCCTGGGATTAATAAATTGAGAACTAAAACTATGGGGGAGGGGCATAAAAGACTGTAAATAGCCCACCATACCGTGTATCTCTCTGGATGGTAAGGTAATATGTTATAAATAATGTCAGCTCATCTAGATTTAAGCTGTGAATTTATCTGATATATGAATCAGGCACTCAGAATTTTATTGGTATAGGAAAGTGATTAAATATGAAGTTCATCTGGGGGAATTGATTATTGAAAATAAATGAGTCAAAAAATTTTGAAGATGTACAGTGCTTAGGAGAGATGTGCGTTATAGTAAAGTATATGAGAAAGGTACCTATTTTAAAACATTGCAGCGTTGGCACAAGAACAGCAGAGAGATTATAGAGCATAGTAAGCAGTCTAGATAGAAATCAAAGCATATTTAAGAATTTGTTAAATGATAAAGTTATGAGACAATGCTATATTTTAAATGGGGGAAATATCTAAAAATACCTTGGGCAACTGGCTGTTTGGGGATCTCTACGTCACACCATATATTACAATGACTTCCAGGTGAATTAAAGATTTAAATATGGCTGGGGTGCCTAGGTGGCTGTCTCTTAAGTGTTCGACTTTGTTTCGGCTCAGGTCATGGTCTCAGGATTGTGGGATCAAGCCCTGTACTGGGCTCTGCTTTGTTTGGAGTCTGATTAAGATTCTCTCTCTCCCTTTTCCTCTGCCCCTCTCCCCACTTGCTCTTTCTCTCAAATAAATGGATAAAATCTTGAAAAAAAAAGATTTAAATATGGCAAATGAAATCATAAAAGTATCAGAATAGGGGTGCCTGGGTGGCTTAGTCGGTTAAGCGTCTGACTCTTGATTTCAGTTCAGGTCATGAGATCGAGCCCTGTGTGGAGTTCCAAGCTCAGCTCACAGAGTCTGCTTGTCCTTCTCCCACTGCTCCTCTCCACCCTCCCCCCATTAAACAAACAAATAAATGAATAAATAAACTCTTTAAAAAAGTATCAATAAATTATTGGGTCAGTGTCTTGGAGTGGGAAATGACTGAAATTTCTTCTTTAAACAAATTATCAAGGGCACCTGGGTGGCTCAGTCGGCTAAGAGGTTGCCTTCAGCTCAAGTCATGATCCCGGAGTCCCGGGACTGAGTCTTGCATCAGGCTCCCTGCTCAGTGCGGAGTCTGCTTCTCCTTCCGCCCCTTCCCCTGCTTGCATGCACGCACGTTCTCGCTCTCTCTCTCTCAAATAAATAAAATCTTTAAAAAATTAAGGTACTTTACAAATTTAAAAAATGTCAAACATTATAAAAATAAGTAATAGGCAAAGTTCTCTATTACAGTGGCCAACATTGTAATGCTATCTTGGCACGGGGAAGGCTTTTCTAAGCATGAAACCAGAACCTGGAAGGAAAAAAAGAAATTGATACTTTTAAGTACATAAAAAAAATAGGGGGAAAATTGTAAGCATTTTTTAAAGACTATGGAAATGACAATATTTGACAGGTAAGGGGTATATTTTCTAATACAGAAAGATCTAATACTAATCAGTATGTAAAGAATAACCAACTCATTTCCAGAAGACCTGA